TCACAATAATAATGGAGTAGTCCATATTTTATATGGGGATTCTTTTTTTTTTAATTTAAAATAAATGTAAAAAATAACACACGCATACACACACAAAAAATATTTACTTCATGTTACAAAGGTAATGGTAAAATATAAATGTAATTATTCACATCAAATATTTATTTCAAAATACTATGTATACCCAAATACAGGCAAAATATATATATATATATATATATATATATATATATATATATATATAACAAAGGCATACACATGATTAGATATAGACTAATTAAGCCGAGTTAGCTAAACTACACCCTTAGCCAAAAAAGTCAACAAACGCATACACATCGATATAAATTATATACTTTGAGTTACAAAGGTAGAACTATAAATTAAAATATAAATAAACAGTTATGAGTAATTATAATAAAATAATATAAAATTAATCATTAATATCATGACACAGCTGTTCATGTGAATCAATGTGGGCAAAATATATATATATATATATATATATATATATATATATATATATACACGCATATATACAGCGTGCGATGGATAAATTATCGTCTAAATGATGCAAAAATGAAAATAACACTGATATCTCATTTTAACAGATATATTTAACAAAATTCCATACAAATATCTTCAAAACGTAAAAAGTAAATTTATTCAATAAAATCGTCATTGACTTCAACTACGGCCGCCAAAAGACTTTTGAATCTCCTGCAATTCTTCTGAACTGTCTCCTTGTTTAAATTGGTGAATGCTACCATAATCTTTGCCTTCAGTTCATCTTTGGTGTTACAAGGAGTTTTGTTGGTCTCCCGCTCAACTGCGCCCCACACATAATAATCAAGGGGGGTGCAGCCTGAGGAGTTAGGTGGGCAGATGTAAAGGATGATGTGGTCGCAGAAATTGTCTGACAGCCATGACTGGTATTTTCTGCATGTATGGTATGGTGCAGAGTCCTGTTGTCAAAACATAGGGTCTTCCAGCAGCCATTCTCTTGATCCATGGCAGCATTACCTCCTTAAGGCACGTCATGTAGGCCTCCATGTGGAGTCTGAGGCCCAATGGGGAGATGAATGTAGGCATAACGACGTCATCCCAAAGGATCACTTCAAACACCTTTGTAATCACCATTAGACTCATCCAACTCTTTTCGAATTCTGTGCACTGTTATCAGATTGACACCCAAGCACTCTAAAATGTACGAATTGGACCTTCCGGTGAGTATACCATGTTGTACAGAATGCCATTTCCAAATTTCGGATGGAGTGAATTGTGTCATGGTGCTCTTTTTCTCACAGACGTTGCCCAACTGACCCTACTGTTAGCATTGTGTTTATTGAGTACGATGCATCAAGATTACTTAAATCAATATTGTATTTATTGACGATTTTTAAAAGGGTCACATTATCAATGGAGAGTTCTATGCTAATTGGCTGAAAGGCTATCAAGATCAAACACCAAAGAAAACTGACGAAAGGGGACTTGTTTCATCAAGACAATGCTCCAGCAAACAAGTCCTCGGTTTCAATGGCCGCTGTGTGTCACTGTGGCTTTCAACTCGTTGGTCACCCTCCCTTTTGATTTCTGATTTGACACCATTTTTTTTCTTTCTTTCTTTCTCTTCTTTCTTTCTTTCTTTCTTTATTTCTTTTCTTCTTTCTTTTCTTCTTTTTTCTTTTTCTTTCTTTTCTTCTTCTTTTTGTTTTCTTGCTAACTTCACTCCCTCCTTTCTCTTTTTCTTGCTGACTTCAGTTACTTCTTTTTCTTCTTCTTGTCAACGTGTTTCGCTTCTTCTTTATTTCTTTCTCCTTCTTCTTCTTCTTCTTTCTTCTCTTCTTTTCTTCTTTTCTTCTTTTCCGTGCCAAGATAAACCCTTTTCCTTCTTGCCGACGCTTCTTTCTTTCTTTCTTTCTTTCTTTCTTTCTTTCTTTCTTCTTCTTCTTCTTCTTCTTCTTCTTCTTCTTCTTCTTCTTCTTTTCTTCTTCTTCTTCTTCTTCTTCTCACGTCCGTACAGTTTCGGCATCGTCTCCTTTCACCTCGACTTTAACCTCTTTCTTTCAGTAGCGAATGATAAATGTGTTTATATTCCAGTTTGAAAACATAGCCAAGCTTTACCTCCAAACCTTTCAATGCCTGCGAATCGGAAAGTCTTAACGCTGTCGGCACTGTCAGTTGTGATTGCTAAAGACCAACTTTTCGAAAATATCAGTCAACTCCTATCCACCTAATTTCCAAAGAAACAATTCCTTATCTGATTTTGGCTAAAAGCCAGAAAAAAGAGAAATGTCCAATGCCGCTTCCTTATCCATCATGGCCATCAACGAATTTCTTCATCTCATGACATTTTCCAGGAAATTCATTCTTCGTGTTAATTACTGTGTAAGTAACACAACCACACACACATACACACACACACACATACACACACACACACACACATAGATACATTCCTTGCATGCATGCATATTGAACGTGAATCAAATTCAGTATAAGTGACTCTCAGAAATACTACCTTGGATAAAAGTATCTCCAATCTTCCAGTCTTTCTGTTCGTAGATATTAAAGTAACTTTTTCTTTCTTTTACCAAGGGCTTACAGACACGTCCCGTTGAAACACGAGATCTCTTAAGCAATGTTAAACCTAGTCAGTACCTAGATGGGTGACCGCTATAAGCTGGGATGTGCGGCTGGTGTAATAGATAGTGGCAATGTATCGCGGATTTCCAATTCCAGCCGTAATATTCACTTACGCGCAAATAACCTCGAGCAAGACGTATATCTGAATCTTCTCCCCCGGCTATAGGTTAATTAGTAAGACTTGTATCAGTATATATATTATTACCTTAAAAAATCACAGTCTAAAAGTATTTTCTGGCTTTAAATAACCTACAAATGGTTCGATGGCAGTAAAAACGCAAATCAATCAATCAATCAATTTTGCCAAGGTCACTTTAAAAGTTTTCATGGTAGTACACCTATATTACTGCAAACAACAGGGAGTGAACTGATGTTTATGAATAATCTCGTGGTGTCGTCTAATCTCTGAATGTAGGACAATCTCTTTACGGATGAAGAACACACTTGAAACGAGAGATACCAGCGAATACTGAGAATCCCATTGACATAACATCAAACGAGGAATTTTTAAGGAGAACAGGAACTACAAGGAAAATGGTACACTTACAATCAGAACGAAACAATTGAATTTCGAAGGCGCATAAAAATGGCGACAGTGGAATTTCACATACTAAAGTATTATGTGTTAGAAACAAAGATTAATTGATTGATTGGTTTTTAAGGACGTCAAACATATTTTTGTTATATAAAAACACTTTTGTTCTTTTTGCAAGTATATATATATATATATATATATATATATATATATATATATATATATATGAATTAATTCTAACCGAGGTCAAACAACTAGCAACTACTATTGGAAATTTAGAGAGACATAGCAAAGTCCAAGCATTAAATGGAGCATTTTAAGAAATTTAAAGGCTAACATAATAGTCGAGAATACGTGTAGGTTATACCAAGAAGAGAAAGTGGCTATAGCAAAATATAAAACAACAATGAATTGCTGAACGGGAGGTCAGAGATCATGACCAAATGCAGACATTTTAAGAAGTTCAGCTTAGGGATATTTGAACCCGTTTAAAGTTACTACTTACCCCACTACTTCCGGTTTTGAAAGTGCTTAAGTTGTTGAGTTCCGTGTAGTTAATTTGGTGAACAAATGACCTGAGGAGACCATAGAGGTCGAAACCGCGGTAGTGAACTCTAGTCAGCTTTCATCCTTTTTTATATATATATATATATATATATATATATATATATATATATATATATATATATATATATATATATATATATATATTCTGTTTGTACGTTATTTTATAGATAAATTAGTTAAATAAATGCAGTGTTTATAATAAGCAGTATTAATTACATTTACCGGCTTGAATGTACGAGAAATTTCGTAGAAAATATATGTCCTCTGACAGGAATCGAACCTGTATCCTACACGGAACTACCATCTGGCCTGAGGTGCTATACTATTTAGCTACAGAGGAAGCGTCTGGTTAACAAAGTCAAATTTCGTTCGAATTTGATGTAGAAGTAACCTTTGATGTTGCATTTATATATTTTTGTAAGTAGTGATCATGTTTTTTTTTTGTACACGTAACAGAAAGTACAAAACATTTTACGTGAAATCTTAATTTCACCAGTTAAAAAATAAGCATCACGTGGCTAGCGCCATTACTTGTATCTGTATGTACACAAAAATTTGTAAAATTTATATAAAACTACTTTCAGGGTAGATATTATTTATGCAAAATAACTTTCAGGGTATATGAATAAGCTGTGTTATGAAATGCAAAGGGATATCGTGTTTATGCTTGGGTTTTATTCCTAAGATTCCTCATTTTATAGATGCAATATACAAATTAAATAGTCTGTATTCCAAAATCCGAAAAAATCTGAAAACCGTAGCACTACTGGTCTGAAGAATTATACCAAATAATATGAAATAATGTCATATAGTAATGATAATTCTTCATCTCAAAGGTTCTGAGAGTATTAAAAAGAAGTAACAGACTTCAGAAAAAAAACCTCTCCATCAAATGAGAAATAGACTAAGAGCTATATATAAGAAATACCATGCAGTTGTGGCAAAATAAGCGAGTAGGAAGGAAGATGATAAACATTTGTCAAAAATAATTTTATCTGGAACCAGGAGGTTGTCTGGAAGACATTTCTTTCTATTATTTTACCACACCGACCCACAGCCATCATTTAGCCGCTCAAAATAATTAGCGCGAAATTCTGTCTGACTAACACCTATTTGAACTTAATGAAATCTAGCAAATAAATTAAATATTATTAGCCGACAAATATTGGCCTTTCCTTTCTTAACATTAAATTTAATCCACATTCATCACCAGAGGAATATTTAAAATCCAAAGATATGAGCCGCTGGTTTTTGGTTAATAGTGTTTATTTAAGGGGCGGCATTTCACAAGGGGAAAAATTGCCCACTCCTTCGCATGAAAATAATAATAAACCAGCGTTTGAAAATCTCGTTTATAAATTCTTTTGCGTGTTGGGGTTAGGGTTATGTGAAATTTGCATGTATAGATGTACTGCCGTTCTAAACAAATTATATAAAACTGTGATAGATAGATAGATAGATAGATAGATAGATAGATAGATATGAACAGAGTGAGATAGATAGATAGATAGATAGATAGATAGATAGATAGATAGATAGATAGATAGATAGATAGATGGGAACAGACTGAGTTAGATAAAACGATATGAACAGATTGAGATAGATAGATAGATAGATAGATAGATAGATAGATAGGAACAGACTGAGATAGATAAAACGATATGAACAGATTGAGATAGATAGATAGATAGATAGATAGATAGATAGATAGATAGATAGATAGGAAGGAACAGGCACAGTTGCATAATAACCAAATATGCATAGGGAAAAAAATGATTTAATAGAAATAAATCCCATTTCTGGATGAAAAAGTTATTCGCACAATGCAAATTTTACGTTTTTAAACTTTTAAATTGCTTTAATATTCTAGATTATTCAAGTGGAATATTCTAGAATGTTTCAATTATATTATCAGTAGTTATTTTTAGCCTAAAGCATACAAACAAAATATTCTGTAATTGATATTCGTGTAAAAAGATTTTTATCATGGCAAGAGGTAAAGAATTAATAAATTCGCAAAAAGAACTAATTGTTAAGCTCTGAAAAGAAGGTGAATGTTACAGGAAAACCTCAGACAACCTGAATATTTCATTTACTACCATTCATTGCAAGGTAAAAAAAAAGACTCAAAACTGTTGAAAACCAAAGAACAGGTGCTCTACGGAAGATTTTTACAAAAAATTCGAGGATATTAATGCGTCAAATTAACAAAATCCAATGGTTACTCTTCAAGAGTTGCAGGATGATTTGCTTTCATCAAGAATCTGTGTCACTAAACAGACAATAAGCAATGAAATTCATAGTAACAATCACCCCCGCCCCACGGAAAAGTCAACTGCTATTGAAAAAAACACAGAGATGTCAGTTGAAATTCGTTCGTAAACTTAAGGATAAAGAAAAATCGTATTGGGAAAGATTTATTGTGAAAATACACAATTATGGCACAAGGCCGAGAAATGGGGAGGGTTTGAGACTGGTCGACACTAACTATCTTTTACCTAGTTAATCAGATTCACGACCCATTCACTTATTACAATTTTCACATTCACCATAAAAACTCGTCCGTCACCAATCAATCCTCCATACTACCATCAATCCTCCTTAATACCGCATCCTCTCAAGGGGGTCCTACAAAACGCGCCCCATGCTATAAAAAAATAATGTATCTAGAGTTATATACATGTTTTTCGTTTCTTTTTTCTAAACACGATCAGCATATTGTGGCCGTGTTCATAGCTGATGATACTGTTGGCTTTTTCTTTTTTTTATTATTAGTTCTTCCATTATTTGAAGTCTTTTGTTTACCTATGGACGAGGCTATCATACTTTTTCTGCACGTTGTTGCTGATGGAGTTTGGTAAGTTTTCGTGTTTGTTTAAATGAATCCTAATTGAGCTGTGGTCAGACAGATGTAACGTAAGTCTCCTTGATAGGCATGTAGTGGTATGTCCAATATAATTATTCATGAATTTAATTTGCTCAGGAAATCAGTTCCTTAAGGGGTATGTATACTTATAAATGATATTGATTCTCTGTAATTTAGATTTTCAAGTTGATTTTATAAATTCCATTCGAAAGGATCATTAGCTGCTTGCTGAAATGAATGTCAAATATTTCCTCATAAGAAAACGGTTAATATTGCCGTGATTATTAGAGATGAACTGAACAGATACTACACACTGAACCCAGGGAGTAAAGAACAGTACCACACGATTTGCACTGGCTGCTCACTCAATGAATAGATCCTAATAAGGAAATGGCTAATGTTAACATTATCAATATAGATGAGGATTACAAATACTACACTTTGATCCCAATTCGATGGCCAGTGATTGGTGAAAAATTCTAACTCGTGTAGTACTGGCTGATCGGTCAATGAATCCCGAATGTTTCCTTATAAGGAAACAGCTAATATACCATTACGATTAGGAATGAGGAGTACAGATACTACACTTTGATCCCAGTCCGATGGCCAGAGATTGGTAAAAAATCGTAACTCGTGTTGCACTGGCTGATCGGTTAATGAATACCGAATGTTTCATTTTATTTTTTGTCGTATATTAATTTAAAATATTCCTTTTTACTGGATTTATTTTTGAAATGGAATAAGATCATTCTAAAATTCAGGATTTCTCTATTGCCCATCAAAATACCTGGAAAAAAGCGATCTAAAAGGAAACGGCTAATATTACCATATATATAATTATTCATCAGAGGCTTTAGAAATCGCATGTTTGCAGTAAGTGGAGATAAGATTTGGTTTGAAGATTCGAGACAACGATTTGTCCACCAAGCAAAAGACATTCTGAAAACAGACTGGGTATCAGATCTGGAACTTCAGTATGGGTTCAGTTATTTCTTCAAGTCTGTTTGAGGTTTATGCGTAATGGGGGTAAGCTACACACCATGCCACGAGCCACGCCTCACACCCCATCTGGAAATCAAAAATACGTAAATAAACAATTTTTTGTCAAACTCGAAATTCTTCAGATTTGATTCTGACAAGTCGCTGAGAGGCGCCACCAAAATTCGTCTGAAAAAATATGTAGAACCATTCTTTCAATTCCAGACTTCCCATACATTGCCACGAACCAAAAGTGATTAGTCATCTATTTTATTGTTTTGACAACCGAAGTAAAAATCTCCCTATGAATTCCAAGGCTATTTTAAAATGTTGTCTTTCATCCTTTTCAATGATGTGTAAAAAAAATAATCATTTTTGGTCGCTAGGCGAAGGGGACGATCTTAGCCAAAATAACAAGGAAAATTGCTGAAGTAGTTCCGTATTTAATGCCAGCTCTAGACGTAGAGGTTCGAGTAACATAAAAGCTTGAATATCGTACTCTGTTTTTCAAGGCAAGCAGGTCCTCTATATTTTGACAATTGGCGCTAAACACTCCATTTGCTTTTTCACTGCGCTGAACAATGCTTAATAATTTTTTAAAAGTTATATATATATATATATATATATATATAGGTATTTACCCTCTGCCCCACGCAGCAAGATGTGGCACAAGGCCGAGTTTTATCGTGCAGACCTCGTAAAAAACGGAGTCAGTTTCCCGAGACGAGACTCTGCCCTTCGACATAGCATCGTCTGGTAGATACCCTCTGACATGTGCCAGGTAAGTATATATATATATATATATATATATATATTGTTACGAACTTGTAGCATATAGATGAACCACGGGTTCTAAAAAAAAAGGAAAACGTGGTTTCTTTTTCTCGGTCTTCACTCAGAAATGGAAGCGACACAAGGAATCAACGAAGAACAGACACAAGACGATGGCTTTCAAAATTAAACATTTATTTATAAATATATATATAGCGAAACAAAGAAAGAAAAAAAAAGAACATTCATTTAACAAAGGGGGAGGACATCAGTAAAGAATAGAAGGCGCGAGCGAATACATACATATATGAAAATAGATCGAGCCAAAAGAACCAACTTATCTTGCAGTCGGGCTGGTATCTTCATTAAAGTTTTGATTCGCCGAAGGAGAGTTCTGATGATAAATCAGTATCTTGGCCGGCCGACAATGTTCCTGGATTCTTCTTCTTTTCGCAAGTGTTCAATCACTGGTCGATAGACTTCGTGGTCTTCCTCATCTCAGTGGGCGGTCTGACGATTTTGCCCAGCGATGTTCAACTGCCGCTGGTCAGAGGGAAACTGAAAATCCTTCTTGGTTTTCGCTGTCCCCACAGACAGTCACGTGGGTTCCCTTCGTCCTTGACCGGGTACGCAGGAGAATAGGGCGCAAATCACGCAGTGTTTGTGTGATGGCCAAAAGTTCAACGCATGCTCCAGGTACGTCCTGATCACGTGAATCGCAGCATGAGACCCTGATGGTGTCTGGAGTTTACTCATGGTCAAACGCGAAATCTTAGAACCAGGTCATCCTCGCGTCGGGTCACTTCTAAGTTCACGGGCCCTTGGCTGGCGGGTGGAAGAGAGGATAAGGAGAGAAAGAATTTGTGAAGAGAAGAGGGGGGGTATGGCTGATCATAGAATATATTCGCTCGCGAATCGGAAGCATTGGATTAAATTTCTGTTTTATCTATTTATTTATCTTTCTTTATATCTAACTAATTTTCTCTTTATTTAAGATTTTACTTTAGCCTAACGCCTATATGGTTAATGAAATCGTTGCTACGTGACACCTCCCTACCAAAAAAAAAAGAAAAATGCCATTAACGGCAGTTTTCTAAAAAAAAAGAAAAGAGATTGTTTTCGTCCCCGTTTGATCCTCAAAGGCTTATCGATCAGATACGGGACAGGGCGTCAGCACACACGTTGTCGATGCCTCTTATGTGCTGAATAGTTAGATCGTATTCTTGTAACGCTAAACTCCAGCACAGTAGTCGCCTGTTCGTATTCTTCATTTTCCTGAGGAAGGTTAGTGGGTTATGGTCAGTATATACTAAAGTAGGCTGACTGGACGAAGACACATACACTTCGAAGTGTTGTAAACTTTAACAAAAGGGCAAGAGTTTCTTTTTCTACTGTAGAGTAATTTTTCTGGTGATTGTTGAATTTTTTTGAGAAATAACTGACCGGGTGTTCGATACCATTTGCATCGGTCTGTAGTAATACTGCGCCAATGCCATGGTCACTTGCATCTACAGCTAACCTGAACGGTCGGGTAAATTCAGGAGCTTTGAGGACAGGGTTTGGAGCACAATAGGGCTTTTATTTGATCAAAAGGATCTCTGACAGTCGGGTGTCCAATCAAATTTGGCTTTCCTCCTCAACAGTTGGGTAAGCGGTGAGGCTATATCAGAGAAATTCTTACAGAAACTTGTGATAGTAACCCGCCATTCCGAGAAATCTCCTCAGGCCTTTTACATTGGTCGGGGCTGGGTACTTAACTATATTTTGTATTTTTGCCTCGATCGAGTTATCCGCCCATGGCCGACAACGTGTCCGAGATACGTCACTTCTGCCTGGCAGAAATCACTTTTCGCAAGGTTAATGGTGAGATTGGCATGCTTTAACCGATCGAAGACTTTTCGTAGAGATATCATGTGTTCAGCTCATCGATGTACGTCTCTACACCAGCCAGATCTCGCAGGCAATGGTTCATCATTCGCTGGAAGGTGGCCTGGGAATTTTTCATCCCAAAAGGCATCACGCGGTATTGATACAGGCCATCCGGAGTCGCGAAAGCAGATATCTCCTTAGCGCGCTCGGTTAGGGGCACACACCAATAACCCTTCAACAAATCGAGCTTTGTAATATAAGTAGCCTTGCCTACTTTA